GTATGTGTGTGTTCCTAGAAGGCAGGAGCTATCTTCTTTTTGCTGACCACCATCCCACAGTTCTGAGGGCCATGCCCATGGCCAACGCTCTGTTAGTTTTTGGTGGATTGAATTACACCCGATCAGGAAAACAACAAGACCTCTTTGCTCAGTCATTTGTTCTTGTTCTCCCCTTGGCTTCTTGTTCCTTTCCGTAGTTCTTTTCCTCTTCCCTCTCCTGGCTTCCTCCTGGCTGGAGGTCTTTCTATTTAATTCTGGGAAGCCAACTCTCTTTTCCTATTTTCTTGTGAAAGCTGCTTATGATTGCCTCATGTTTCAAATCCTAGAGATCACTATGTTGATATGTTGCTAAGAGGAGGATCTTCTTGGAGGAGTTGCTAATTACAGTGTCAAGTGTGGTTATAAATCACTGAAACTTAGGACTGAAAGGGGTCCCTAGAGAAACTTTTAGCATGGTCAGCCCTCCACGCGCCACTAGAACAATCTGCTCCCAAATCTGCCTGGTGATCAGAATCATCACCTGGAGATTATAAATCACAGACTTCAACCCTGACTCTAGAGATTCTCATTCAGTAGGTCTAGATTGGGCCCAGCAATATGTCATTTTAACAAACACCCTGTGTACTTCTGATGGTCAGCCCAGACCAGGAACTACCATTTTAGAACTGGTGATAGGGGGACCACCAGCTCCTGGTTTCATATCCATCTCCACAGTGGGGACCTCACTACCTCATAAGGTAAACAACCTTATTCAGCCAGTCTCTGGAAATGTGCCTTGGCTCTAAAATGCTTTAAATTATCAGTTGTTTGGATTTAAAATCCATATTTGTAGGTAAAATACAGTCATTTATTTAATGACTAGACTAAATCAGGTACTTATTTTTAACAACTTGTTCTTGGGTATTTATGAATAAATAGAATCATAGCTTGTGTGGGATTCATTTATGCAGCTATTTAAAAATATCCGACAATAATTTTTAGTCTAAATCAATCTCTGTTCCTGTCTGCCTAATTTGTAAAGCTTCCTTTCAACTATTCTACATCCATTATTCAATCAATATTACTATACTCTTTTCAAAACCTGAAACTACAATTTGAATTAAAAAGGCTTTTTCAGTCATCTCTACTGATGAATAATAAATAAATAAATGCCAGACATCCATCTGTAAGGAAGCACCAGATTCCATCTTGGATCCTGATGTCCGCCTTCAGGAGACTACGATCCCAGCACAAGAAAAATCCTGCATCATTTAACATCAGGGTGGCCTCAATGCGTAGCACGTGGAGCAGCTCAGTTTGGCTCATGTGACCATAGCAGTGAGCGCCTGCTGCTCTGGGGGCGGGGCATTCAGGGAAGAGTCCGCAGAGGTTATGTGTGCTCAAGGACCAATAGGCAGCAGCCAAGTGAATAGGAGGGGCCAGGTGTTCTAGGAACTGCATATGCAAAGACCCAGAAAGAGTGGGTAGAACAGATTGAATCATCCTAGCTTTGGTTTGCCTAATACAGGAAAAACTGCGTAATTCAAGAGCTATGCCCCCAGCCCTTCAAGTCTCAGAGAGTTTCTCAACATCTTCTGGAGTAAGCGCTCCTGTGGCTCACACACAGCCCCCCTACCAGGAGCACTGCTGTTTCATGACCCACGCGAGAGTCCAGGGAGGGAAGGATAGCACGTGGACCCTTTCCAGCGTCTGAGAGGAAAGAATCAGCCATTGGAATTGTGGCAGAGAGGAGCAGTCCAGTGTCTTGTTATATGACCGGCACCTGGATGTAAAAAATGCACGTCATTTTGGCCCAAAGTGTAGTCAGCGTGGTCTAGTTCCCCTTCTCCCACTGAGGCCCAGTGATTACAGGGCAGTATTTACTCCTTAGAAATTGCTTCCAAGCACCCAGAGGTGTCTCCCATATTCTCCCAAAGGCTCTCTGAGGTGATTGCCTTTAGCTCCTTTGTTGTCAACCAGCAAGGCCTTGTGATAACGTGATGCTGAGCAAACCCTCCCTGTAGAAGTCCAATAATGACATGACCTGTCTTTATGGCTGTTCTCTGATAATGTATAAAGGGAAACGCCAACCCCCAGTAGCAGTAGCTGGCTGGGTTCCAGAGGCAAAAGTGAATAAAAAACTCATTAAATACTTTGAGCCAGTAGAGTTGTCGGGGCTGTGCAGCGGCTGGGAAAGCTGAAAGTGGAGGAAGGGAAGGGGCGGGCATCTCTAGTTGGCAAATGGCAGGCTGTGAGCCGGGCAAAGCAGTCCAGGAAGCAAGACAAAACAGGGCCGACTTGCCTGTCACACAGACATGTTTGTGAGTATACTAGTTTGGTGCAGCCACATTATGTATGCTAATTGCTATATTTCCTTTTTCTTTTTTCCATGGGAAATACTCGGTTGGGAAGCTGTGAAACCAGAGGCAATGCAGAAATGCCAAAATGTAGACATTACAAAAAAAGAGAGGAGGAACAAAGGGAAACTGGGGATTCGAATTTACAAAATGGCTTAGCATTCTGCTAAGTCAGCACCTCTCGCTTTCATGCGAGCCTTATGAAAAATAAGTGAGCAGAGGGTGTGATTTCTTTTGTGCGATGCTTTCTGCAGCATCTGTTCCATAGTCTGAAATTGATTAGTTGGATTTTTTTTTTTTAATTAGAAGCACAAATTCCACCTGTGGAAAGAATAGGAAGTTACCCAGAATAGTTATCAGAGCTTCCAGTAAATATTTGAAAGTATGAGGTGGTTTTCTGCCTACAACTTTCCTGGACAAGACACCTCTCTTTGTGGACCATAAGATTCAAATGCAAACTGAGGAGGGTCCACAATTGGGTCCATTTAACATAATTATCCATTAGTAGGAAAAACTCAGAATATTTTTTTCCTTTGTACAGTCATAACTGTAGTATTCCATTAGCTACCCTTGGGGGACTGTCATTCTTTAAATCAAATAAAAACAGACTAACACACTAAAATAATGGTTTCTCTAATGAAGCTTATCTAAGTGCTTTTTTTATATTAAAAAAAATAGGCCAGGGAATAGAAATAATATTTTTTCTTTATCTTTAACATCAAAATCCCAAGTGTCAAAGTATTGCTAAGTGGATTTTTATCTTTACTACAATAACTTAATTTTTTATAATTAAAAAAAAGGTAATTTATTTTTTTAAAGCAATTTAATAGACATTAGACATTGGGGAAATTTCATAATGCATTTGATTGGATCTGATAGAAGGGCAATGCAGCTATTTTGCAGAACAGTATAGAAAACACATTAAAGCATCAACTCATATCCTGTACGAATTGTAAGAAAAAAGTAACATAAATTTAAGCTTCTTTACCAGATGTTTAAAAATCCCTACCCAACTTTTTGTCCCAAGAGTAAACATTTAGCCACAGTGCACAAGAGATACTGAATACATAGTCAAGTGCCAATGGAGGGAAATATTATTTTATATTATAAAATCCTCTTCTGGTCCATTTCCCCTGCAAGTCCTGGTTGTCTGAGGGCAGATTCCCTTTGCGAAGCCTGAAGTTGTAAGAAAAAAAAGAGCATCCCCTTCATTTGGAGCTGTTATTTTGGTCAGATTTCAGTTAGGAAGCTGCTTCCAGAGCCACATCCAAAGCCTGAACCAAAATAATCCTCCGAAAGAGGGAAGACATCCTACCCATTCTGGAACCTCTTCATTGAAAAAAGATCAGGCATTAAAGGGAGGGTGGAGATGGACTGGCCTGGAGGCAGATGAAAACCGTCCCTTTTCTTCAATGTGATTTGCATAATAACTGGTGCAGTAAACCCACGGGCACCTGGCTCTACACCTAGGATAGCCTTGTATTGAAGGTTCAAAAAAAAAAAAAAGATGAATTAGGGAGAGAGTCAGGAACCTCCCAGGGCACTGTGCAGGCCCTGACGTGACCAGCACACTCCAGGCTCTGGCCTTATGCACTCCAACCTCACAATTAGGGATGTTGCAGAATGTTCTAGTCTCTTTTAGAAAAGATTCCCAAGCCTCAAACCTGACCCAGGACCCATATCTCATTTCCTTTAGTTTTGGGCTCCTTTTGTCCTTGAAGGAGCTGACAGTCAAGAGCTCTCATCCCTGTCCAGCTGGTGCTGCTCCCCAAGGCTCTGAACCCAGGAGGGCTCAGGTGCGCTCGGCTCTGACCCTTCCAACCCTGAATTTTGAATCTTTCCATTTTCCTGAGAGTGAGTTTAAATCGAGTCCGTAGTGCCCTCTACAACCTTAGGTGTGCCATCTCGCCGTTTTAGCTCCTCCAGTGACAGCCTCTACTCCAAAATAAATGGGAAAACGTTCAGTATTGCTTTCGGGAGCGGAATCAGATGTTCTTTTTTTTCAGTTATAGTCCGGACCTCCAATGGGGGAGCCTGATTCAGTCCGTTTTCCAAAGCTGCCTTACCTGTCAGCATTTTTACTGGGACAGAACATACTCCCAACGTACCCTATTTTATTTGTGAGGGATCAAAGAGTAACGCATCATAAGAACTTTGCTTAGCGTACATATGGATAATTACATATATCTCAAGCGTACAAATACATGAAAAATAACCAGTAGAGAAAAATGAAAGATAGGAATGTAGAAAGTGATTTCATGAATGCTATTTTTCTTATGAGAACCTGTTACTTCTCACAGAACTTAAAATCTGGAGATTTTCTCAAGAGTAAGTTTTCCCAAAGTCTCCAGTTTATTTGCCTTCCTCCTTGAACTCATTCTAAACTGAAATTTCAGTCTTTCTTAAAAGAAAATAGCAGAGGGTAAATTTTCCTTGGCTGCCTGTCTGAATCACTTCTACATCATAGGAGTTGGACCTTTTTTTTTCCTCAAGAGAGCTACATCTCTGTTTGAAATACACTTAACATGTATTGAAAATGCCGCTTAGATTTGACTGAATTGTGTCAGAACAAATCTCTGCTTGTTAAGTAAATATTAATTAAATCTATGATGCTGTACTTATTCCTTGTTTCCTACATAAAATTTCTTAAATCTGCAGATATAGTTGTTCAACTGCAATCTCCTAGAGAGGGTCAAGTGTGGTATGGGGACATGCTGTGGCCCCCCATCAATAGTGACTTTGTAAAAACCTTGTAATTGAATACAAAATAAAAATCAAATCTTCCCAATAAATGTCCTATTTTAATTCTTTAGGAATCATAAGGGGTGCTGAATGACCAGAGGCAAAACTCATTATACTTGTGAAAAAACAAACACAAACAATTCCTGACACTTTTGGATATTTTTTTGCTCTAATCACATAAAAAGAACTAGCGAGTGTTTCCTTTTTATTAATGTATGGCAGTGGACTTCCTTCTAATGATGACACAGGCATATATTTTTCAGATCCTGAAAGTGGATCCCCGATTTGCTCCCTTCTCTAGGCTGAATTTCAATCTACACTATTATACTAAACCCTATCTACAGATTGAATGGGTGTTGGTGTGTAACTATAGATATCTATATTTTCAGTTGTTTTACTTTGCAAAAGACCGTCAATACCTGACTACCGATAGGCAGAAGGTTCTGTGAGACTTATATAGAAATTGTCAATTTCACAGGAAGTTCAAATGTACATGAAAGTAAGTGAAAGCATTTTGTGAACTAAGTCATTCTAATTTGGTTGGATGCAATAGTTCATATAAATTTTATGCCCTTCCCCTAACTGAGTTATATGGTATAAGGACCATTAATCACTACCTGAATTTTGTGGGAAGAAACAATTCTGGGAATTGAAATGGACAGGGCAACATCCCCAGAGGAAATAAAATGTGAGCTGGACCTGTAAGGAATGGATTAGATGTAAGGAGGTATCACGCCTTATTTTATGGCACTGTAAATGATATCATTAAGCAACACCCTTTACTTAAAACAACCTTTAAGCAAATGATCCCACTGGGGCAAAGAAATGAATGCAGTGACCAATTGGCATGAGTGTCTGATGTACTGAAAATTTAGATTACTTAATGTAAATTAAATGAATACATCAGTATTATAAATTACCAGTTTATTTCATGTAAGCTAGTAATAGTATGACTCATTGAAATTGAATGCTATTAGGTGAAATGAAAAGACACATTGGCTGACCTGAAAGCCAAGGGTCTGCATCCTTCCATCAAAGTATGATTCTGCATTAGGCCTGAACCAGCAGTGAGCTGGGTTCCATGCCTCTTTTTTCTCTAAAAACAAGGAATGGTATTAAAGGCTGTAACTCTGTGCATGATGTTCCTAAGATAATACTAAATTAGTTCATTAGTTCATGTTGCCCTTCTAATAAATATTTTCCTGCTAAAATGTAGGGTTTGGATTTGGTTGAGGAAGGAGAGGCGAAGGGTTTAGTTGGAGAAAGTTCCTCAGATAAATTTTTTCCTGCCTCTGTGCCCTCCACGAGTAGTTGGAATGACCCCATACACAGGCTCAGCATCGCCTGTGACCGTCTCTGAAGATGTGCCCAGAGCAGTTAACCTGGCAAGACCCCGTTGCATGGTCTTCTTCAATTTTTAGTTAATAGGACTAAAATATCTACCCAAAGCTTTGTGTTCATATATCTTATCCAGTCTTCAAAAATGGCACCCTTCTCCTGTTAGAACAACACACAGAGGATGATGCAGAAGGGGCCGGAGAGACTTCTTCTCTGCTTAGAATAAGAAAAGGAGCATATTAAGGAGGAAAACATGTGAACAAGGATGTTGGCTCTCCTGGGGCCATTTGTTAGAGCACACAGTAAGGGATTGAGATGTAGTAGAGATCATGAGAGACTGGGTGGGAGCCATGAGTTTAAAGAAAAGACCTTTAAAAATGGAAAGAGTGTGCTCCGGAGTTGGTCAGTGTGAGCAGAACATGTGACTGAGACAAGTGGTGGACGAGTCTCTAAGTGGAGCTTCACTTTGGGTCAGCAGACAGCGCACATAACTGAGGGCAAAGAACAGGAAAGTAGAGAGGAATCGGGGCTCCGGCCCTGGAGTGCTGAGAATTGCCCTTCAGCACTAGGAGAGGGCAGAGGCCCCGGGTCAGTGAGAACTGAGTGTACTTTTCTGGGCAGCCCAAGCACTGAGCCATGACTAGACAACACAGACAACAGGGGAAAGTGGAAATATACAGGTGCCGATTCCGTCAGCAGGTACGACTGAGCTATCTCCACCTCCCTGCTGAATGAGGCAGTATATAAATAAATAAAGCTAAAATAAACAACAAAAGTCAGAGCGCCCTCGGGTTGGGCCAAGGCTTTATGCCAAATACTTTTAAAGATATGACCAGATTTACTCATACCGGCTGGAACCTGATCATCCACACTTCCATTGCTTGTTACAGGCGGTGGCAGCTGAGGCACCACTTCAGGGAAGACCGGATCTCAGGTCCCTTGAGCCTCACGCTCCTGGATCTTGACCTTAAGAAGTTTCTTCCTGGCAGATCCTCAAGCTGGTTGCTGTGCCCCAGCCTGATGCTGCCACTGCGGGCAATAGTGCCCCCTCGGGACTTTACTGGGAAAAAAGTCAACTCGTGACATTTCTCCCTGGTCTATGGCTAAGGGCTTCCATAGGGCTGATTATTAGACACTGGGTGTAATATTTGTTATGTCTGCTCTTTGTATTTTGCTTTTTGGGTTTCCTTTTCAATAGCCAGTACCAAAGGGACTAATTTGATTTTTGTTTTTAATGCAGCTGGCTTTGAGGGTGAATAGTGTGGAGGATTTGGTCCTGAACAGTAACAGATAAGGGTGAAAGGTCAACCATTTCTCTGGGTTTGATCAATGGCAGGAGTTTGATGGCAAATTAAATGTCAAAATTTTATCTAATGGCAGATAAAACTGTCAAATGATTCTGAGAATCGATACTTACTGGGAAAAGTTGTTTAAGCCTTTAATGATCACATTTACTCTCAAGGGAAATAATATTGGCAGTATGTTCAGACATTAGGACAATAATACATAAAAACAATGTGAGGATGATTTTAAATAAGGTCACTTACTATGTTGTTATTGATCAATAGCGTATTTATAATCTACACTGTCTTATTTCTCAAAGAAGGGATCACAGAACCATCAATATCACCTGACAGATTACAGAAATGCAGAGTCTCAGGCCTCATCCCTTCCTCCTGAATCAGACCCTCTGAGGGTCACCATGCAAATCTGCACATTTATGGAGCTCCTCGGGTGATTGTGGGGCGTATTACTGTCAAGAATTGCCAGCCTGCAGTCTTTTCCTTCCAGCAGGCATATGTCTCCTGGACAGAAAATAAAGCCATGCCCACAGGCTAAGTAAAGTATCAGAGCAGTAGATAGGTAGGTCAAAGTATGTTTCGGGTTGAATTTGAATTGCAGGCATGAATTATTATTGGATTATTTAATGTCTTTGGGATAGTCTGCCTCAACTCTCCTCTTTTGGAGGTGGTTTAAATGTGCAAATCAGGACAGCACTGCAGTGCTGGGTCACCTCAGGGGCTGGAGGTGAAGGTGAGCAAAGAAGGCATGGCGCCATCACTTCTGTTACGCTTTTTCTCCATCACTTTCATGGGCTTTATCCTGCTTTTCCCTCCCTTTAAATAGTGGTGTTTCCCAAGACTGTTCTCAGCAAAAGGCTTTTTCTATGTTCTCCTAGAGCATCACCTAAAAATACAATGATGCCTTCCAGAGCTGTGCTTCTGCCCAAACTATCACCTAACCATCAGATCCACTTCTGCCTGCCTATTGGACAGAGCCACCTGGACCTCCCACAGGGAACTCAAACTCAACGTGCCCCAAACCAAACTCACTCCTATCTGTCTACCTTCCTCTTTTTTTTAAAAAAAAGATTTTATTGGGGGAATTGGGAGAATTGGGGGAGGGGAACAGACAAGTTGCTGTCTTTTTGTTCTTCAGTCTAGTTGTGGAGAACATCGCTTCACTGGCCAATGTTGTATTATCATTGCGCTCTTCCTGGGTGAGGCAGATCCATCGCCAACCACTGGACGTTCGCTCACGCTGGCTTTTGGCAGCTCACGCTGGCTGCCGGCCACTCACGGTAGCTTTACGGCAGCCCACTGCAGCAGGGGCTGCAGCCTATGCCATTGTCGGCGACACACAGCAGCCCAGCTCCAGGTCGAGCTGTTGTTCACCATCTTAGCTGTAGAGGGCAGTGTCACTGGCCCTAATGTGGGATCCAAACCAGGGCCCTGCTGCTCAGAGCCGGCGTCCCAAGCCAACTCTTAACCAACACACCAGTCGGCTGGCCCTACCTTCCTCTATTAAAATGGCCTATTAGCTAAGAGCCCAGGTTCTGGGAACTGATCACCCAGGCTTCCATCTTAGCTCCACTATATACTCGCTTGGGAAGTTGCTTAACTGTCCTATGCCTCATTTTCCTCACCTGTAAAATGGGAATAGTGCCCTCCTCATAGGGTTAATGTGCAGATTAAATGTGATAAACACATATCAAGAACATAAGCCAATGCCCGAGCAAGGGCAGGTATTCAGTATATCTTAGCCATTTTTATTGTTTATTCTTTTATCAAATATTGGTTGAGCTTCTTCAGTGTATCAGGCATTACTTCTGAATTACATTTCCCCAATTAGACACTGTCAAAGCTGCAAGTCTCCTCAGTAAACTATCTCCCTTCAAGCTAGGGAGAGCACCACATTCATTCTTTTTCTTTTTAAATTAAAAGAAAACGTTTCAATTACAGTTGACATTCAATATTGTATTAGTTTTAGGTGCATATAGCATATTGGTTAGACATTTATATAATTTACGAGGTAATCTTCCCAATAAATCTAGTACCCATCTGACCCTATACATAGTTGTTGCAACATTATTGACTGTGTTCCCTATGCTGTACTTTACATCCCTGTGACTGTTTTGTAACTGACAATTTGTATTTCTTAATCCCTTCACCTTTTTCACCCAGCCGCCCAACTCCCCTCCCATCTGGCAACCATCAGTTTGTTCTCTGTATCTCACATTCCTGTTTTAATCTCAATGCTAGTGCATGACGGTAGCACTAATTTGCCTGAAATAAACTTCAGAACTGTGTCCTTTATACGTAATTCACATTGTCTTAA